TCTTTGTTGGGTAAATGGAAGTGGTGGTAGCTTCTAGAACCCTTAAATAATAATAATAATAAATAGTGGAGCTGGACTCACTCTTAATCTAATAATAATAATAATAATAATAATAGTGGAGCTGGACTCACTCTTAATCCGTGCCACTCTTTCTTCGTACTGAAGTGGCTTCCTTACCATCAAAGAGCACCGTTTGGGAGGCTTTATATAAAAGTATTGCCTACAGTTATTTTAGGGGTGGAATTCCTTAACCAGGAATGTAATCTATTTTTACCATCAAAATCTACTTGTTTGAATGAATTCTGCTAAGCATAACGTCTATCTGATATCTAGACTCTAAGCGTGGCTAAGCAGTGAGACAGAGAATGCTTATTTCACCAGATTAGCCAATTTTTGTTGATTAAAGTAATTTATTTTACTCAAAGGTTTTTTTTCATGTTATTTGATAAGATTCTTGTAGCCACAACCACTAAATATGAAACTTTTAAGAGTTACACCACACATCAGATCAATGCTGTTCTATCAAGATTGATCATACAATGGAAAAAGAGCTTAGTTGACAGGTCAAATTTAATGATCAGTGTCAAATGAAGGAGTTAAGCAACGATCCTCAAAATATGGAATCCCATTTTAGACCCCAAGTTGCATTTAGCTGAATGTAACAAATAATTAAATATCCTTCCATCAGTACAGCAGCAACAGAGAGGTCATTGTTCTTTCACTCCAATTCTAATACAGTTCAGCAGAGTCTTTCATAGCTTTTAAGTATCCCAGAATGTCTGACATCTGATTAGACTCCACTCATAATGAACTAGTCCATTCTCAAGGAGGAATCGTACTCTTTTCTGGACAGAAAAAAATCTACTTTTTAACTTGGAGAGCTTAATTACACAATGAGATACAGACACAGGTTCCTCTGTGTTTCTTTATTGCATAACTGCACACTAATTTAACAGTTTAAAATACAGCAGCTAGAAGTTTCTTTACATCAGGTAAAAACTGAGGAAAAAGGCCTGGATCCTAGGAGAACAAAAGGCATTCCCTGTGACATACACTGTCTGCCAAGACAATTATTTCAGTAAATTATGATTAGGCAGGTAACATACATTAAAACACACAATGTAATAACTGCCACTAAAACAAGATGCACAAAGAAAAAAAGCAAAATGTACCAAGAAATACAAGTTAAGACATTCAAAATTAAGGCATTCATATTGTAAAGCAAATACTATTGACTATGAAGTTGAACAGTAAAAGAAACCTTTCCTCACAAGTAAGCCGTGTAGACTTCCAGTACTCTAAAACCCAGTAGATGTTTGTGAGATCAAAGCCATCTCCATTTCTATAGCTTTCAAAGCCAAAAGATACGCTCCTGTCAGAGTTGTGGTAAAAATACGGATTCAAGCCACTCGTGACAGAAGACAACAAAAGCCTGGTCAGGTGTACGTGGTGGCACACACCTGAAGTGCACTAGTGTGAAAGTTTTGGAATGTAGGAATATGGATCAAACATTCAAATGCCAAATGTTCCAACCACGAAGTCACCAAGAACAAGACTTCTGATAAGAGGGATATTTAGCAGAAATATTGAAAGGCAGCTGGAAGTTGGACCAATATGAATACAAATCGATGCTCAAAAACCTTCTACTCCCACTTCAATAAGCTGTCCTCAAAATTATATCTATTTATCTTTAATTCCTAGTACTGGAATGCCTCCCAGTACAGTATTAAGTAACAGAAGTGACTACTACACAAGGACAAACACAAACATGTGCTTTGACCCTTTTGTATTGGACCATCTAAAAGAAGAGCCTAAAGATTTCTACACAGACACTTTTCAAATAGTTTAACTTAGTTGTGCAAAATCATGACAAATATTAGCTCTAGCCCAACATCAAAACAAACAATTTCCCCTTCCCATGTAACTGAGACAGTAAGGCAGAAGAATTATATCCCACCTCCTATTTTACATAAACGTGCAGGCACACAGAATTATTTCTCTTGAAGTTAGCTTTTGAAGGCAAATACAGTCATTGTAACATAAAAGTTAAAAAAAAAAAAACAACAAAAACCAAACCTCTGTTCATTTCTAGACTGCTAAGTTCCATGACAATCCACCCTGCAACTGCAACACAGCCTACCTTAAAGAGAAATGCTAAAACACTAAACACATAAATGCAAGACTCAAAAACCAGCAAAATAACTGTAACAGAAAATCCCTGTTAAGCTTAATTTTGTAGCACAGTAGAGTTAATTTTTTCTACTTTGACCCTGTTTCCAGATATTTGAAACAATCAGTGCTGAAATTGAAACTGGTAATTTTAAATCAGAATACTTAGATGTGATTTTATCTAAATACATATGGAATATAGCTCCATGACTTTATGACTGGACAATAAACCTATTCTCTAACAAAACTTCCACAACAATACTTTAATGTAAGTAAATCTCTATGAGAATTTGAAATAGATCACTGAAAACAGAATATTCAACATCATCTCTGACAGATGCATGATGGTGAGGATGTTATAAATTACACCCCTAGGAAGAAAATCTGGTTCAGTGGAGCAAACCACTGAGAACTCAGTTGGGTATGAGCATATTATGGCATTACGAAGCATCTGAAGATGAAACATTTACACCACAGCAGCTCCCTAAGAATAAAATATGTATTTTTGCATTTGCATATGCTAGGAAAGCTTTATTAACTAGTGAAACAAGCTCAGTGGATCAGAAGTACACAAAAACTTGGTGAAAATTACCAAGCATCTAAAAAACTTGGAGCAATTGCATGAAGCTTTTTAAAAGACCCCTTCGTATACGACAGGGATATTGATGCTTAGTGCTGCTGAGCCACCTGTATTTTTAAATGTGAAGGCAACATTAAGATGTCTTTATATTCCAGTTTTTTCCTAACTGCTGATAATGAGTAGCAAAAATCTTAAAGACAGACAAAATATATGCCAGTTTTGAATCAGTGCCATCTTTCTACGGGTTCCTCCTCAGAAAAGTGTTTGCAAGAACAGCACTGAACAAAAATCTCAAGCTTAACAATGACTAGATCACGTACATTCAGGCAGAAAGTAAAATAATTCTTTTCCTATCACCAGAACTGTCGATATCCCTTCCAAAATTATTTTGGAATCTGTCATTCTCTGGCAAAACCATCACTGATTTGGTTTTGCAAATGAGAAACATAGTAAAAAATCTGGCTGATTATGCCCAAAACTATAGTTCAACTGAAATAGTATCGTTCAACCAAGTTGCTATAGATTGTATAGTTCAACCGAGGCATAAGGACTTTGAAGATTCATACACTACCATGTTGAATATACTACACAGTAAAGATAAGTATACTACACTGGGAGAGAGAAGAGATTTTCTTACATTTACCACATAGAATCACTCTAAGGTTAAGTGGGCACATTTCAAATTGCCTAGGGAGGAAGGCACAACTGTTGCAACATAACAACAGCCTGAGGTAGAGCTATTAAGGAAGCAAAGGTAGGACCTGGGCACTTAATTGGTGAAACAAGAATATCTAAAAGATTAAAATCATCAGGGTCACACACTAAAAAGTGTTCAAGTGCTTTTAAACCGAACACTTGGACTTAAAAAATATGAAAATGAATTCTCAAGTTCTGAATTTAGCAGTGAGAAGCCAGTGTCCTGGCAATCACTTGTGCCAAATCACACCAGCAACCAGTGACTTTCCTTACTGGCAGAAGCAGATCAAGTAACATCTGTTCTCCAAGAAGACTCCTCACATACAATCAATCAAGATCACATCATGAGTTTACAGACAGACCTGCTCCTCCTCAGAAAATCTGCTCATAATTTGGTGCATGAATTTCATGCACAGGCACAATGTTAAATACACCAAAGCATAAAAAGCCATGAAGAAAGGTGCTTGAGAGAAAAATATGGATAGCAGTAGTATGCTTCAGAGGTAGATAATACTTGTGGCAATTGGACCATAACTCTAGGATAGATCTCCACAGCTGGCAGCTTACACAACAATTTTGTCTGGTCCACAAATAAATTTCAACCACCACTTCCCTTCCGTTACCATAAGGTGCTATAATACAGTCTGGTCCCCAGTTGTCCTGAAGCTAGAGAACTCTTTTTGTAAGAAAATAATGTCTTCAGACAAAATTTTGAAGAGAGTGCACTGGTGCTCTATGAGTTACTGAAAAAAAAATGTTGAGTATCTGAATGCTGCATTTTGTCCTCTCCTAGCACTGGAATTGGTTTCAGAAATTGGGTTGGTTTTTTCCCAGTATCCCATTGGGAGGTCAGCTGGGGCTTCTCTAATGTTTTCTGTTGATGCAATAACTTTCCTGGGATCAACTGGACATTTTTGCCTGATTTGCTGCCCTTGCCAGTCTCGAGACACTGGTGAATTCTCTTCTGCCCTCTTCTCCTGGCACATTATTAATATAGAAAAATAAAAGCTGCCAGAGCTAAAAGCTTCTACATTTGTTATAAGGTTTTAGAAAAAGCCTTCTGGTTTGTGGTGTAGATAGAGTGGACATTCTGTGACATACGTATCAAACACGAACCATCCAGCCAACAGAATGGAAAGAGATTAGATACTCTATGTCATTTTTTCCCTTCTCCTCTTGTCATCCTAATCACCAAGGGAAAAGGAAGAAGATAAAATGTCTCTGTATATGTGAGTAGAGAAGCTAGTTCTGTTCCCAAACCTCTGAAACAATCCCACAAAAAGACCTGATCAGTATTAATACTTTTCACTTCTTCACACTTCCTGCTTGCTAACATGTTTTCGTTGGGATTATTAATCATGCAAGTCACTGAAGGAGCATCTGAAGAGACACAGAACAATTCAGAAAAGAGACAGGGGAAAAGATCTCCTGCCCTTATTTTTCCTTTAACTGTCAAAGTAATTCCTTATTGATCCCTGCTTTAAAACAAGTCAATTTGTTAGGGGTTAATATTATTTACTGCTTAAAAAGGGCAAAACTAGAAAATCCCACAGCTTCTCTACTGAAGGGCAAATGGCACTCAGCAGAACTGAAACTGGCTGGCTGTGAAATGGTATGGCATACACATACTGCAGAAAAAGGGAAAATAACTTAAAAACCATGTCAGTTATATCCAGGTACTGCAGTCTGGACTGACATTTCATGAGCCATCTATGGCCTGATCTGCTCAGCGTGGTCCTCGGGCTGAACTTCAGCATTCAAGAGATGCCTGCTTTGGAAGGATGAACGCACGGTTCGGTTCATTAACGGCTGAAGAGGGCGAAAGTTGTCTACCATTCTCTTTTCTTCTTCACCATCTGAAGTAAAGAGCAGCATCCGAAATGCCTCCAGCTGAGAATGAGAAATGTCCAATTTTGTGACTTTACTAACTGGAGAATTATTGGAGTTCATGACAAAACGCAATCATTCATGCTTGGGGGGAAAAAAAAAATATATCAAAGGTACTAAGACATTTGCATTCTGAGAAATTTTAGCACAAACTTCTGGCACTTCTTTGTCACCTGCTGGTAAAGATTATGCCATCATCCATATCAGTGCAGAAGATGAACTGTCAGTCATCTGCCATCTTTAGGCAAACTAAATCTCAAATGTGGCATGTCTGAGATGCAACCAATTCCCATTCAAATATGGGAACATATGCCACTTTTAAATAAACCTCTCCAACCTTCTTAATTTACACCCTGCCTGGAGTTCTGTTATCTCATACAGACATGCATATGCTGGCACCAGGAAAGCAACAACCTACGCACTTGTTGTTCTCAGTCATTTACAGCTGAGGATTAAGGTATGCAGGAGATCAGCTTTTAATGCTCAGAAGGGCATTACAATGTTAAGTAAACTATAAGCCTTTCTATGTCATAAAAGAATGAGAGTGAAGAAAAGCCAAAGGGCAAAAAAAAAGTGTTTCCATTGAAATGAAGAATGATACACTACACATTCAGTTCTCACTGCTCTGTTAACAATATTCAGTCCTTCCTGACCTGTTCCTTTGTGTAAACTAAAACATTAAGATCACATACACACCTATTCTTCAGAGTTAGTGTTTGTTTGGAGCAAGACTTTCTAGATGGACTAGCTCCGTGCAAAAGTTGTATTAAAAAAAAAATAAATTAAAACAAAATCAGTACTATTTTGACTCATGTGGTTGGACTCACACTTCATTATTAATCAAAGCCTCAAAAAATAGGGACAATGCACAGATAATTTTCAGTGCCTCCTAAACAGCAAAAAAAAAAAGGTAAATTTTTTTGAGTTGTTAATTTCAGTCTCCAAGATTTGCTCTACGCTGTAACACTGCTCCAAGTACTCCACTTCTTTGAACAGACAAAGAAAATCCTGAAAACTTCCAACAGAAACCACAATTGTAGTACAATTCCAATGAGTCCTCCTTCAGATCATTTGCTACTTGTCCCTACATCTACCAAGGAATAACATCCCACTGCAACGTGAAGTACTAGAATTAAAAGCAGTAGAAGGCACAAGTTTGAGTTGGCCTCAGAACAGACTATTGACCACGATCTCCTCCACTTGAAATAACTTCTGTAACATAAACATTTGCTGAAACCTTTGTTTGTCTGTCCTTTTTAAAGGGGAATTAAAAAATAAAAAAGGAATTCAAGGACAGTACAGCCATATGTAAAGATGCCTACAAAGGCAAAGGAGAAAACCCAGTGGAGACTCCATCTATCTCTCACCATCAGAATGGCATGTGAAGGACTCAGAGCCACCCACCATCCCTTCTGTACCTTCAGAGTCTGCCCAAGGGAAGAACAGAGGATTAGCCCTTGTGGTTTCCACAAGGTCCCTGTGCAAATGCACGTGGCTATCTAGAATACTTTGGAATTTCAGAAAACCTGCCCTTTCTCCTGCCTCCCTACCACAAAAAGGGCTGTGTCCTGGTAAGGAGAGCAAAATTATGCAGCATTCCAATAAATAACCTTAGAAGTTTTCAAGGGGCAGCATCCAGCATAAGGCATTGTTTATCTCAGATCAAGATAAAACTCCTGAGAGCTGAAGAAGCATCTTTAACTGCTTACTGAAGAGGTCTTAAGTCTTTCAATATCAGTTATTGTTAATGTCAGGATACCTCCTCAAAATAATACTGAGTGTGAAGCAGCCACTGATCTCTGTGTATTCACACAGAATTACTGGTCCTGGTAAGCAACTTCTTCTGTCCATCTTCCCCACCATGGCAGCAGAGAGTCAAACAGGTATGGTACAATTTGAAACTTAAGCATGAGATTTACCTGATTCTCATCAACCTCTATTGGCTTCTTCTTAATAATCCATGTGACTGACTCGGTAAGCGGGGGAGTAGTCAAAGAGCCCGCATAAGTCCAATAATCAGGGCATGAAGGTATCAAACAGGAGGGATCAAAGACATCAAACTCAATAACAGTGTCCTAAACACCAGAAAGAATATATTTTTATAAATTGTATTTTGAGAAAAAAAAAAAAGATTTTAAAAGATCTTAACAATGAGATTAAATACTGTACATGTTATATATGCATATGCAAAATTAACTATTGTGAATATTAATAAAGATCTACATAAAATAATAATTTAAAACCCCATAAACTTGTACAAAATTGCTAAGCTGGGTTTGAGGCATAAGAGGCAACTAATGAGTAGACAAGATTTAAATATTTCTGTTGCCCCCACATTTGTTTGGCATTTATCTGGTAGAGTTTTGACTGCAACACCATAAATATTTGTTTTATTTGGATATAAAAAAAACCCCTTACTGCAATAAATAATGGCACAGCGACTTCAACTGGACGTACTTACAAGCCAGCAAAATTCTTGTGTATTTTTTGTGTGTACTTTCAACAAGGGAAGGGGCACCTGGAGGAATATGAGCTGCTTCTGAGTGCTATCAGAGATGCAGCGCTCCCTCTCCTGGCGGTAGTCAGAAATCAGCTATGAAGAGAGAATCCCGTTCCCCTAGCAGGAAATAATCTCCTCAAAGATCAGACAAAAATCAGAAAGCTTTATTTCCACAAGAAATGAAATAAACTCCCACTTTACACAGTTAAGCAACATACAAAAACTAATCCAGTGGCATATGTTTTCTCAGAAGCAGAAGGGCAAGCTTCAGTGAGCACAAGCTTTAAACATGTGCGTGCCTTGGATACAATCTCAAAAGCCTCATTTCTTAAACCAAGATGTTTGAGAAACTTAAAGTATAAAATTCCTCCTTAAAAATTAGTTTTCCGCCCTCTCGAGTATAATCAACACTTGACCCAAGGTGTCAATGAGGCCTCTACTGACATTTAATCACAGAATCCCAGACTGGTTTGGGTTGGAAGGGACTTTAAAGCTACTCCAGTCCCAACCCCCCTGCCATCAGCAGGGACACCTTCCACTAGACCAGGTTGCTCAAAGCCTCATCCAACCTGGCCTTCAACACTTCCAGGGAGGAGCAGCCACAGCTTCTCTGGGCAACCTGTTCCAGTGTCTGACCACCCTCACAGTGAAGAACTACTTCTTTTATTAGTGTTTTGCTATTCTCAGAGTATTCTTTATGACTGCATTAGCTATGCCAAGTGATAACTGCTGGAACACTTAAAAATAATTACCTTGTGTTTAACTGCTGGCAAGGCATCAACCAGTGTCTGCAGCTCTTCATGATGTGCTCCTAGCTGCAGGAGACAGGTAGGAATTAGAGAATCATTAAGCTGACATTCTACACATCTGCCTTAATCAGTATTTTGTGAAAACAATAATAATCGAAAGGTATTTTGTCCTAAATTGGTTTTAACAAAATGAAAATAAAAAGGCATCATTAGAGCTTATTACACAGAGTGAAATTACCTTTAAAAACACTCCAATAACAGCCAAGCCGTTACCTTCCATCACAGCTTCTTCAAAAGTTGGGTATGCAACAGCATTCCAGTGTACTAAATGCAACTGAAATATAAACACAAATGAATGAGAAATCAACACATGCACAGAGCACAGCAATGGTATCCAGAAACGTGACTTTTCATCTTTGCTACATTGGGCAATTTGAAACACTGCAGTGAGCTACCTCAGAAATCACACGCTACAAAAATGAGGATCAAAATGTTATTGGAAAAGAATGGTACTTCCCTTTTTTTTGCTAGACAATAGCCAAAGAACTATAAACTGCATTTCACATATCTGAAAGGGATTTTGTCTGTGGCAGACTGATTACAGGAATTCTAGTTAAAAGCACAAAAAAAGCTTAGTACACCTGGAACTGAAGCGTTCTTCCATCTCTTAACAGGAAGAACATAGCATGTGATTCTGCTAAGGAACATCCTCCCACATGTAAGGTAAGATTTCTCTGCATTGCTTAAAGTCCAATCCAAGCAATCCATGAAGGGGTTTTAAATATTAAATAAACAGCCAGCACCAGCCCCAAAACTTAGTCATACAGTCTTGCTGTTAATAAATATCTTGTCAAGCTGACAGGCATTATTATGAAACATTAACAGAAGATAAACATCTTCTCAAAAATAAGCAATAATCATTCTTCAAATTCTCCATCTATGGCATATAACTGTGTTTTTAACCTGTCCTACTCACCTCTCTGAGCAACTTAATCTGTGTTTTCCCCTGTTGGCTCCACCCTTTTAATTGACTCTCTTTCAGCCTTACTAGTTACTTAATCACAAAAGTTTTGCTACTTCAATAATTGCTTACCAGTTGAAAGCAGAAAATAAAGTGATCATGATAACCACTATATTACCATAGAACTCTGCTGTACATTGTTCTAAAGACTTTAAGAAACACACAAAAAAGCCTATTGATAACTGGAATAAACTTTCTAACGCTACCCAAAGCTCTGGGGTCACACACACAAGATTTACTGTATGAGACAAGCAGGACCAGGCTTCTTGACTTACAGGTATGGGTGTGAGAATTAAATAATCTTCCATTTTCTCCTGAAGTATTTTTTTAAAGAGTATTTAGTATGTGCTTTGTTTCTCTGCAAGCATTTTGCAGTAATAAACAAAGTGATTTTAAAGCAGTAAGAATGGAGAGATCTAGAGGTCCTCTAGGACAGCAGCTGAGATTCAGTGCATTCATTGTACTCTGAAGAAAACGGATCCTACACCCCATGTGAACTCTCAGCTTACTGCAGCTCAGAGGTAAAGCACTGACATTTTTTTTAATTGAGATCTGAGCTTGCACATTTACCTCAGTATTTGCTGCCCACCTGATCTGCACCACATTAGCCAGGACCTGGGAGTTCATTAAGAATTGATTGTGCCCTCAGTCTGCTTTCTGTCTCATCCTCTTCCCCTTTGAAAGGAAGAAGGACAAGCAGAGTTGTGCCTCTCCGTCCAGGCAGAGCTGGAATAGCAATGACACTCTGCTGCCTGCATTAGCTTGTCCAGCAGCTACCCCCAGGGACATTCAGGGAGAAGAAAACCTTACTGAAACTTTCAGTAATGGGCCAATATTCAATTTTAAGACTGTGTTCTTCTCCAGAAAATATAGTGAATATGAACTTACTAATACAACAGCAGATGAGCTGTGGCACCTGCCAGGTTTGATCCTTAACAGTAAACTGGAATTCTTCAAATGGGGAGTTTTCTAACCATTTCTAACTGGTATAGTCCCAGATAGCCCGAGACCTTTCCTCTAGTCCCCGTAAGTATTTGCATTGTTCAGCATTTTACCTCATACCTCTGCTGGGTAAAATTTACTGTCAACTGTGTGCTCTGAACCCCACTCATTTATAGCTCCCCAATGGAAGTGGAACTGCTTTAGCCTGTATTGGTTTTCCAAGGGACCTCCAACGATTACTAAAAAAAAACAAAACAAGACACACACATATTAATAAAACATGATTTAGAATTGTCCAGAGAAGTAACATAGCAAGATCCTGCTTCAAATTGGTTGCCTACTTCAAATCAGTACTTATCTTAACTGAAAGTCTCTTATTACTCAGCTACTTTTACAATTTACTTTGCTATGATAAAATTGTTCAAGCAAACACATCACTGTTTTTTTCCCTGCAGTCTGAATCAACTATATCAAACTGAAGATGATAAGCTCCATAGTCTCCTCATCCATCTCCCCTCAAGGGAATTGTTGTTTTTTTTCCAATTCACATCAAGTTTGTCAGAGTCATTGTAAATTACATGTTACATTGTATGCTCTTCTCTTTGAGCAGGCACATGAGAACTGCGGTAGCAGAAGAAACACGTATGACAAAGCAATTGATACATCTATTAAATGACATCTTAGTGAAGCCTCAATATTTATGAAAAATATTAAAGCTTCCCATAACAATACAAGACTTCAAAAATCCAATTTTGCCAGAAAAAAATCAGTACATTGTGTCAAATGTTCAATTCTGCTTTTTTCCCAGATACAAAAATCCACATATACTATCCTGCTGCAACATAGTTTTCAGGCTGCATAACCAATGCTGAAAGATTTCCTGCACAGCCAGAAATATGCTAATATTGTGCCTCCTGTAAACTGTTCAAGCTACACTCCACAAAGCATCTAAACATCCAGTCTGCCTACGGGCAAGATTCTGAGTTTATGGAAGCTTTAATGCACTTTTTAGCCATGAGTGAGGGGAAACATTCAGTCTGCTCTGCTGACTTCAGAAGGCATCTCATTTTGCAAATATATGAATGAAAAAGTCTGTGCCTAGTCTTCTGGGTAGTGTTGGTTTTTACTCATTTCCTCCTAACTGAACCAGGAACATCCTGCAAAGTTATTACATCACAGCATCTGGTAAATTAGAAACCATAATTACTTCCAAACGACTAAAAAATGTGTAGATGTAGAGACTCATTTGCTGTTTTTTACTTAACATCATGGTTACATTTTATAGCAAATCACTGTATAAAGTACATAATCCCAACACTACTTTTGAAAAGAAGTTAATCACTTTAATGCTAAAGAGAAAACGGTGAGAGGCATTAAAAGCTTTTCTTGTCTATTTTTTTTTCTTTTTCTCTGAAAGCCAGCCAGCAGTTTTGAAATTCTAACTGCATAGGTCTACTTGTGATAAAAGTGTAAGCTAGAACAAGCTATGCAAATTGACACTTAATTAATTTCATCCACTGCTGCTGAGGTCTTGGCATAAATGTGATACTGACCATCAATTAAAAAAAAACCATATGGAGAAAGGTAACTTTCAGGGATGGGATGAAGACGTCTCACACTGCCAAGTCTTTCAGAAGTAAGATTTCTGTGCTCTAACACTATCTGTTCCTGATTATGTGATGATGCAAACCCACAAGTGACTACATTCGTGTTAATAATCACAGTCACCTCACCAGTAAAGTTAGGCACAGACACACATAGGTATGGAGAAAATGGGGTTCCTATAGTGGACACTAAAAAGTGACAGGAAACAAACAGGAACTTACAGTCCCTTTACAAGCATTTTTGCCATTTTATTTCCTCTCAGTTTATCAGTCTTGACAGTTTCAAAACAAAACTGAAGTTTAATGGAACTCTAACCACAATCAAAGGAGAAAAAAAATCACATCAGTTTTTATTGTAGCCCTAGCTCTGTTTCAGTCTCACTTCCTTGCAGCAGATGGCATTCATGCACACAGACAGGACCATGTTCTGTACATACCTTCCTCACACCCTCTTTCTTCTTCATCCTCCTGCTCTGCTCACAAGCAAACACCCCATGGCAGCACTACCTTCATCTTTTGCCCAAGTCTTGTTTTGCCTCATCTCAGAAGTGGGGCATTTTTGTCTATCCTGGATGCAAGTTTCATTTTGTCTTTTTCATCTTCTGTTTCAATTTTGTTGCCTTTTTTTGTTTGTTTGTTTGTTTATTCATGAGCTTCCTTCTCTGTATTTCTATTATTGTTAGACAGAAGCTGGCAGAAAGAAAAATCAGAAATAGCGACAGTAAAGAGAGAAAGGTGGAAGAGAAAGGCAAGCACTTGAAAACCTGGCTATTTATACAGCAACATCCCGTGATCTGTTGTTTCTCTGTCATTTTGGAGTCTTGTCACTGATGATTTAATGCCATCCTCTACAAGTTGTCATCATCCTTCACTGACTTTAATTCATTTGAGGAAGATGATGATGAAAAGGCAGCCATCCAGAAAGAGGCAGCAAGAATGCTCACAGTTAAAGATGTACCTCAAGTGTTCAGTCTTACAGATGAAGCAGGTACGATCATTCAGAGCTGCGATGCACTCTGAATAACCAGCCTCTGGAACGCCAGCACTCCTCTAACTGACAGTCCTGAGGATTCCATGCTTGCCTCTGTGTCTCAAAAACTCTCCCTGTATAATTAAATCTTGTATATTTCTTAACTTCCTGCAGGCAATTCCCCTCTATGACATCAGTTCTTGGAGGAAAAAAAATTTACTTTGTTATCCATTGAACTGCAAACCATTACACTTTTCAGGAATGCATCCTCAACAGATAGCGGGGTGTGGCTGTATAAAGTAAGAGAGTAATAAATTAAAAGCAAAACCAATCTAAAGTTAGTAAGTTAAAATCAGTGATGAGCTAAGAAGTGACGTCTCCATCTTAGTCTCTCCTCTAACCCCACCTCACTAATGCAATAGGAGTTTGTACTGTAAAAACAGAGAGGCAACTACTTCTTGGTTTCTTCTTTACCTGTCATAGCTCTGAAATGAATAAGGAACATTCCAAACATCAACCAAAAAAATACTGGTATTGCAGAGACAAAGCGTTTGTTTATTAGCAATGCCAAAAGCTTCCTTCCCAAGAGCATTACTAAATCCCTTATGAAGATCTAGAATCCCTCACAGTAAGCACTCATCTTGAACATACATTACTCTGATCAAACAAGTTCAAACTTGCCCAGGGTCCCTCAATTTTACCCTCCAGAACAAGCTGAATAATTCACATGAATCATGTGCTTCACAATATCCCTGACTAACTGCTACCGGTTCACCTGCCTTTACGAAATATCTTCTTTATACATACCAGCAATATCCTTTGGTAAACTCAACTTTTAAAGGGAACAACAGACAGGAAACCTGGAATTTGGTACCAATATCTTGATTTTTAAGTCCCTTGACTCTATTGAGCATTTCAAAAAAGTTTAGCTGCTCAGGTCAGTGTGCTTATTCAGAACAAATTGCTGGAATGCATAATTGGATTTCGCATGCACCGACTCCTGCTTATCCTAAAACAACAGGAACACACGGACCCTGCTCCCTGTGGTTGCAGCTGAGTATTATTTAATTCTCTAAAAGCTTATTGAGATAAGCATGTATGCTTTCCAACTGAAAGTCATTTTGCTGCTGATTACTTCAAATGCATTAAATATATCTGTTAACACCACAAAAGAGATCATAGAATCATATCATAGAATGGTTTGGATTGGAAGGGACCTTAAAGATCATCTAGTTCCAATCCCCCTGCCATCAGCAGGGACACCTTCCACTAGACAAGGTTGCTCAAAGCCTCATCCAGCCTGGTCTTAAACACTTCCAGGGAGGGGGCATCTACAACTTCCTTGGGCAACCTGTTCCAGTGTCTGACCACCCTCACAGTGAAGAACTTCTTCCTAATATCTCATCTAAACCTCCCCTCTTTCAGTTTAAACCCATTTCCCCTTGTCTTGTCATTAGTTGCCCTTATGAAAAGTCCCTCCCCAGCTTTCTTGTAGGCCCCCTTCAGGTATTGGAAGGCTGCTATAAGATCTCCCCGGAGTCTTCTCTTTTTCAGGTGGCAGATTATTTTAACAAAGTGTAATGATGGAATCTCATTTAAAATTACTTAAGTAGGTACCTACAAATATGACTGAAGATTGCCTCATGTAGGCAAAGCTGTGATGAGACCTAATCAAAAGGTAGGGCATCAAGGGTTGTGCAATAACAATAAGTTTCAACCTGCAGCAGAGGATTTGTGCACAATGTCCATGGTAATAAATACAAAGTAAAAGTGAGCCCTATGGAGAATTTCTGCATTACAATTCCCACCGCTGTAAATCCATGTTTAGCTAAAGCATTCTTCTACTGTACATTAATTTTCAGTATTTGTCCTGAGGTTTTACACCATGCAAGTATTTCTCCTCTCTAAGCATTAATAAGACATTAAATAGATTTTTTTTTCTGAGTTTTGCTTACTTGATCTATCAGTAGAATCATCAAACTCAACCAGGAATGAATATCCATTGTTCCAGATATGCAGACAGGTTGTTGGGTCATAGCTGATTTTCAGAGGCTTCAAAAAAGGGTCATAAACACTGTCTCTCCACTGGATATTGATAGGAGACTGTCGGGTTCCCCCAGGAATTGTAAGCGGACTCTGCCAAAGTGGATGCACTGGAAGACAACAAAGAGAATCAGGCTCTAATGCATGACACAGAACTAAATACTTCAGAACTTTTTGGCAAGAGAAGATGCTTTGGCATATTGGCTCCTAAAGCTAATTCAAATCAGCTGATGCAAAGGAAAGTGGAAAAAAAACCCAAAAAAACAAACAACCAAAAAAAAAACATTCCAATTGCATGACTCAAAGCTACACAGGGAAGTGCAGTAACTTGACTTACAGTTGTGTTGATACCTTTCTGCATTTGTAAAATGTTCTTCAAAGCAACTATGTCCCCTTATTTGTCAGAGAATTGTTTTCCTTTTATTGCCAATCGATTTTAAAGTGGCTTCTGTTTCACAGCTCTGCCAGAGTCTCACTACACCACTTCAGATTTCCTCATACACCAGTACCATCCACTGACGTCAGATCGCACCGGACACACAGTAACTCCCACTCCAAAGCAAAAAATAGTCTCTTGAAGGTGCCAGTCATTCGCCTACACACGCTGAGGAGTTACACCACTGCTAAGGGTGCAGTGCTCCTGAAGCACCCATACCAATACTGACCAAGGCTACTTTAGGCAGTTGGGACCTAGAACTGATCCCCACACCTGTAAAATCCTAAACTACCTATTTTGGGGCAGCTTGGGCATCTCAAATTGAAACGAGCAGGGCAGATACATGAACAGAGTTTCCATGGGATTTTATTTTGCTTCAAAGTGGAACTGAGATCTGCGTAGATGACTTGAGGAGCACTTGTTCACCTGCTGTCCCCTGACATCAACAACCCACAAAGGTTTTTGTGTCCTGCCCATCCACTGAATCCAAACGGAGAAGCTCTGAAGCACTGTGTTACTGTCTACTTCATTAGATACAACTGCTGCTTGTGGTCTTTCGCAAGGGGAAAAGAAAAAAATAAGCTAAATCCTTCAAGAAACCACTAACACGAGGGATGGCTCAACAACCTTCCCCCTCGGTTTCCTCAGCAAGGGGTAAACGTTATCAGCCCACACAAGGTCACCGCATACAGGTAATGGAAAGACAGGGGAGGAAAATACTCTCCCAAAGTGCCCCAGCTCTCTGCTTTGGTTTCTGTTATTGTTTCTGCCGTTTCCTGGTGTTACTGTCACGGACCAAACCGGGATGAACTTGGCGTCCCCCTCCCCACATCCACACAAACTTTCGAGGCGGCGGCTGCCCCCTCAGCCCCGGGGACTGGAAGCGACGGCGGGACATGGGCACAGCCCGTGTCGAGGCGCCTCAGCCGGGCACTGGGCAG